GGGGTCAGCTGGGAGGCAGGGCTGTGGGGTCAGCTGGGAGGCGGGGCTGTGGGGTCAGCTCCAGGACTGCAGCCACCCTGCAAAGTGACAGCTGTGCACGTGGGCCCTTGGCCTTGGGCCGGCCTTGGGAGGACGGCAGAAGGTGGGGTGCCCAGCCCCCCGTGCCTCAGGCTGGCTCTGGCACCGCGGCTCTGGCTGCTCTCATCCAGGAGTGGGGGCCCCAGCCACCGCGGTACCCGAGCTGCCCCCCCGTGTAGGGCTGCTCCCCGTGGGGCACGCACCTTGGGGCCCGGCTGTCCTGAGTCCCCCCGGGGCCCAGCGTCACCGGGATCTCCCCGCGAACCCTGAGGAGAGGAGAGAGCAGGGTCAGCACATGTGCAGGACGGGGTTGATCTCTACCAGGACGCTCTCCCTGGCCACACTGTCCCCAGCTCCCTGAGCGCGCTAGGGCCCGAGGCCAGGGAGGAGGCCCTGGTCCGCTGCCTAGTTTGCCCTGCGGATGGGAGCCGGTGGGCAGCCTGTCCCACCGCAGACAGAGGCCTAGGGTGGGAAGGGGACAGAGGTCAGACGGCCTCAGCGCCCTGGAGTCCTGCTACTGACCTGCTTCCCAGGCTCCCCCAGAGCCCCCTGGGGGCCTCTGGGCCCAGGCAATCCTCTGTCTCCCTGCAAACAAGAGAGGCACACATCTCAGGCACCCCACATCGACCTGGGACGTCCGGGTGCCAGGGGAGGGAGGAGGGTCAGGTCACACTGGTCCTGGGGCCCACCAGGAGGGCCTGCTGGGCACAGGGAGGGCCAGTCTGGCCCGGAAGAGACCCCTTCCCTGGGCTAGGCTTCTGGGGTTCCCTGCCTCACATACCTTGGCTCCTTTGTTGCCCACTTCTCCGGCCAGACCCCGGGGCCCCTCGGGGCCTGGGTCTCCCTATGAGGAGAAGGGCATCAGACTCCCGTTGTGGATTGGCCTTCCGAGAGGCAGAGAGACCAGGGGCGTAGGGAGTGGGGCTAGACCACGCCCCGAGAGGAAGCCCCAGCCTCAGGCCGTGCGGAGGAGGCAGGCCATGCCCGGACCCCCACGGGGCACCCAGGGTGGGGCCTAGGTGGGGGAGGGCGGGTCCCCTGTCCCAGGTTCAGATGCAGGCAGGGCCAGGGCCCCACGGCTCCCCGTCGGGGACTCACCTTCTCCCCCTTGGGCCCGTCACTGCCCGGGCTGCCCTTGGTTCCGGGGTCTCCCCTGCGCCCCTACAGAGAGCAGGTGCATTGTGTGGCCCCGCCACAGGCCGGGCCTCCAGCTGGCGGGGCCACACTGGGGCCTCACTGGGCCTCGCCGGGGCCCTCACTGCGCTGCCCAGGACTCCAGCTCTGGGGCCCCCAGGTCTGAGGTGACCTCCGGGCCTCCATCTGGACCCTATCAGCCGCGTAAGCGAGTGGGGGGGAGGGGGGAAGGGAGGGTGCCTGGACTCTCCTCTCTGTGGCCAGCCAGGGGCTGGGCTGCTCCCTCCCCAGCCCTGCGCAGGTCCACCCAGCCCCGAGGGTCACGGCTCAGGCCTGGGGCCACGAACTCACCGGCTCCCCTTTGGGTCCGCGGGGCCCAGGCCCGCCCTTGGCCCCCTTCACGCCGGGGCCTCCCGGGGCTCCGTGGTTGCCTTGGTAGCCCTGTGGAGTGGAGAGGACAATTCCACCACGGCCGCTGCAGCGGCCTTGCGTGCATGGAGGGCAGCCCGGCTGTCACCCGGCCGGGCGCCCGTCCCCTTCCACGCCCGTGCCGGCCGCAGGGTGGGCCCTGCCACCGGGAGCGCTGGTGCGCCCGTCCCTCCTGAGGACAGCAGGGAACTCACCTTGCTCCCTTTGTCCCCGGGGTCTCCTGGGGGCCCCCTGTGCCCGGGGCGGCCGGAGTCTCCCTGCAAGTGTTGGAGGTGGAGTCAGCCTCTGCTCCTCCGAAGGCAAAAGCAGAGTAGCCCAGCACGGAGGACTTGGGGTCTGGGGGACAGGCCCCCACTCTGTGCCCGCCCCACATCTGTGGAGCACCTGGGGGCCAGGGGTGGGGGCTGAGTGCCAGCTCCGAGCCCAGCGTGAGGGGCCCTGGACCTGGCCAGGCCCGGGACCCTGCGGCAGGAGTCCACCCATGACCGTTGCACAGCAGGGCTGTGGTCAGAGGGAGAGGATGGAAGGCACTTCGGGTGCAGGCTCCCAGACCCAGGGCGCTTGCCTCGTGCCGGAGTCGTGGTACCAGAGGCAGAGGGCCTCCAGAGTCCCAGAAGGCAGTGTCCCACGGGTACCGAGGACGCGGTGTCCCACGGGTACCGAGGACGCGGTGTCCCACGGGTACCGAGGACGCGGTGTCCCACGGGTACCGGGTACCGAGGACGCGGTGTCCCCTGGGCTGAGAGGAGGCGGGGCCCTGAGGGTGGAATCAGCCCACCTGAGCTCATGCCTTGTCAGGTCTTACCTTGGCACCTTGGTCTCCTCGCTCTCCTGGGCTTCCGGCCTCTCCGGGGTACCCGTCGGGGCCCTGAGAAGGTGAGCAGGGCTGGGGACGGGCTCTGCCCTGGGGCCTCTGCTCCTCCCCCTCATCCAGGACCACAGCTGTGGGACCAGGGCGCAGGACCACCCTCTCCCAGCAGCGAGCGCTCACCAGCACAAAACCCCGGAACCTCCTGCTTCCCGCTGTGGGCCCAGCCAGTGACCCCACAGCTCCCCATAGCCCATGACCCCGGTGGGGATTCCCGGATCCCGCACTGACGCCTGAGGGCTGTCCCCAGACCCAGGACCTGACCCCAGGTAACCCCGGCTTGGGGGTCCAGATTCAGCAGGGGGTGGCTAGATGGGAGACAGTGTCTCGGTGACCTGCCCGGTGTCCTTCAGTCCTTCCCACCCTCCAACCTAGAGCGACAGATGGAAGACAGTGCTCACTCGGGTTCCTGTGTCTCCCTTGCAGCCAGGGGGTCCGATGCGGCCCAGTTTGCCCTGAAGAGAAAGTGAAATGCCAGAGGGAGTTTGGGAGTGCGTGGGGGCCACTCTGGGGCACTCAGGCCGCCATGGTGGGACTGAGGTGGCACCTCAGTGACTCTCTGAGGGTGACGGCGTCCACAGGTGGAGGCAGGCCCAGGCCGGGTCAGGACCCAGGGCGGAGGACACCGTACACGGGTGTGCGTGCGTGTGTGTGCGCGCACTCATGTGCACGAGCATGTCTGTGTGCAGGACTGTGTGTATGTAGATGCGTGCCGGGCTGGGGCAGAGGTGGCTGCAGGCTCGCTCTACCTTCTGTCCATCGGTCCCGTTCTTGCCAGCCAGGCCAGGAGTCCCCTGGAAAGGGGAGAAGGGACACGTTACCCCCGGTCCTGTCCCCTCTGAGTGGTGGGAAGGGGGCTCCCATCCCACCCGCTTACCTTCCTACCGTCCGCTCCGAATTCCCCCTGTGCGGAAGGAAAGCAGGGCTTTAGCGGGGCCTCCCAGCACCACAGACACCGTTGTCTCTGGATGCACGTGGAGGTCCTTGAGCCCAATGGAGAACCCCGAACCACAGCCCCTACAGTGGCCTAGGCAGGTCCCCGGAAGGCCCGGTGTGTCCCCAGGCAGGTCCCCGGGAGGCCCCGGTGTGTCCCCAGGCAGGTCCCCGGGAGGCCCCGGTGTGTCCCCAGGAGGCCCCGGTGTGTCCCCGGGAGGCCCGGTGTGTCCCCGGGAGGCCCCGGTGTGTCCCCGGAAGGCCCGGTGTGTCCCCAGGCAGGTCCCCAGGAGGCCCGGTGTGTCCCCGGGAGACTCCGGTGTGTCCCCGGGAGGCCCCGGTGTGTCTCCATGCAGGTCCCCGGGAGGATGACAGGCTGCCTGTGAGCCCAGTCAGATGGATCCACAGCATCTGCTCAAGGTCTTGCTCAGAACTGGAGCTCACCTTCTCTCCTTTGAAGCCAGGAACACCCTGAGCAGGGGGAGAGAGGACAGGGCGTCATGGGGCAGCTTGGGTGGCACTGGGCCCTGGAGAGGCGGCCGTGGAGGGCTGTCAGATGCAGCCGCTGGACGGGCGCCGTGGGGAGCTGCGTTTTGCCTGGAGGCTGGGTGTGGCTGGGTGGGGGGTGGTCTGGGCACCGCTGGGCATTGTCACTCTAGAGGTGTCCGCGATCATCACGGGCAGCACAGGTAGGCCTCCCTCAGTCCAGCCCCACCAGCCCAGCCCTGGGCAGAGCCCACAGGAACTTGCCTTGGGCCCTGGGAATCCGATGGGGCCTTCGATGCCTGGATCTCCCTGGGGAGGAGGAAAGGAGCTGCAGTTCATCCCAGCGCGGGGGCAGGTGGAGAGGGGCAGGGGGGAG